ACTCTTCTCAGCCGCTAGCAGGGACTCCTCAAGGAGGTCGACAGTGAGAGTGGTGGGACAGACAGAGAGAAACTGGTCCCTAACGACACGAAGGGACTCAGGGAGACGGGTGACGAGAAAGTAGAGAGTGATGTACATGGGAGGAGGGTTCGCAGCGCGGAACTCAGCAGGAAGGGCAGCGCGGTAGCGGGTGTCACTAGCACGGAGGTGGGTAACGAGGTCAGCGACAGTGGGAAAGGAAGCGAGGTCAGGGAAGAGAAACGGTAGCATGAGGCGGCTAAGGGTAGCGGAGGAAGGGGAGGAGTAGCGTGCAACTACAGCGTCGTACAAGGCCTGAGCGGTCTTGCACTGACTAAAGTGGGCACGCTCAGAGGAAGGGAGGTGGCGACGCACAGCAAGACGTGCAGCAGCATCGCGGGTCGCCCACTTGGAGCGAACGGCAGAGTCAGCATCAGCAGGTGGGGCAGGGACAGCGCCAGAGACAAAGTCAAAGAGAGAGACCTCATCTATCGCATCACACAGTAAGTACAGCTGCAGGTCTTCAATCCAGACGGCAAAGTCAATGGCCCTCCCCTCAGCGTCAAAGGTAAGAACATTGGGGGTGGCCATGACAGCAGCTGAAAATCTCACCGGGCTGGGAGAGGCGGGTAGGTCAGCAGCAGAGGAACAGCAGAACGGCTCCGCAGGCGGCTCGGGCGGCGCGGGCGGCTCGGGCGGCACGGGCGGCTCGGCGGCGGCTCGGGCGGCGGCTCGGTGGCGGCTCGGCGGCGACTCGGCGGCGGCTCGGCGGCGGCTCAGGCGGCGGCGGCTCGGCGGCGGCTCGGCTGCTGCTGGGCGGCGCGGGCGGCTCGGGCGTCACGGGCGGCTCGGCGGCGGCTCGGGCGGCACGGGCGGCTCGGCGGCGGCTCGGGCGGCGGCTCGGCGGCGGCTCGGCGGCAGCTCGGCGGCGGCTCGGCGGCGGCTCGGCGGCGGCTCGGCGGCGGCTCGGCGGTGGCTCAGGCGACGGCGGCTGCTGCTGGGCGGATCGGCGGGGCCGCGTAGCAGAGTGGCGGCGGGGCCGCGACCGAAGAGAGCGGCGGGGCCGCGTAGCAGAGGGCGGCGGGGCCGCGTAGCAGAGGGCGGCGGGGCCGCGTAGCAGAGGGCGGCGGGGCCGCTACCGAAGAGAGCGGCGGGGCCGCGTAGCAGGGGGCGGCGGGGCCGCGTAGCAGAGGGCGGCGGGGCCGCGATCGAAGGGCGGCGGGGCCGCGTAGCAGAGAGCGGCGGGGCCGCGTAGCAGAGGGCGGCGGGGCCGCGTGGCAAAGGGCGGCGGGGCCGCGATCGAAGGGCGGCGGGGCCGCGTAGCAGAGGGCGGCGGGGCCGCGTAGCAGAGGGCGGCGGGGCCGCGTAGCAGAGGGCGGCGGGGCCGCGAGGCAGAGGGCGGCGGGGCCGCGTGGGGAAGGGCGGCGCAACGGTCCGCTAGGGGCGACACGACGGGTCGCTAAAAAAAAAAAACGCGCCTCGGGGCGCGGTTCGGTGGGCCCTAGAAGCAGTCCCTAGGAGGGAACCTGCTCTGATTCCATGTGAAAACAAAGAACGAGAATGGAATGACTATGAACGAAGTGAGTACAAATAGGAAACCCTAATTGGGTTGCACCCCCTATGGGATACCCCACTATAGCCTACAGAAACAAGTAAGCTATATGTTCTGACACTGCAATGTTGTGTAGTTCATCCATCTCGCTGATTCTGACACTGGCGTCACGACGGCTACCTCCGTTCAACCTCCCCCAACTGTCCCACACCCCTTTCACACACCCTCCTATGCATCCGTAGCTCCACTCCCACGACACCCCCCTAGCGCCACTCACGCGGCTCCCACACATCCACCCCCCTCAGCGGCAGCTGCAGCAGTGGGAGATAAAGGAGGAGGAGCAAGATACGGCTCCCACACCCGCCACCCCCATACCAGCCACCCCCATACCCGCCACCCCATTGCTGCATGCGCAGCAGGGAGGCGAAGGAGAAGAGGGGGGGGGGGGGGGGGGGGGGGGGGGCGGAGAGAAGGCTGCGCGCGGGTCCCCGGGGGGGGGGGGCGGGTTGACGAGGACGGGCGCGCGGGTCCCCGGGGGGCGCCGCGAAGGGCGACGGGGAGCCGTGCACGGGTCCCTGGGGGCGTCGCGACGGACGACGAAACCGCCGCGCACGCCCAGGGTGCGCGGCGGGTGTCGCGTGGCGGGCAGGAAAAAACGTCGCGCGCCACGGGGCGCGCAACACAGAGTACAGCAGCGGAAGCATGTGGGCCCACAGGCCAGGAGCGTAGACGCTCTAATAGCATGTCAAGAAAGCAAGCAAGAATGAGAACATCAGAAGAGGGTTTTCACTAACAAACAATGGGATACATATAGCAAACCCTAGTTGGGCTGTACTCACTATAGAGTACCCCATTACAGACTAGACAAATAACACATTCTGACATAAGTATACACTAAAAATTGTTATATAAACATCTATCTGATTATTTTAGCACACACACAAATTGCTGACAAAGAATAACCTTGTGCAGGACATCTCATGAAGGGGGTACACCAGGGTGCAATGGAAGTGAGGGGGGGAGAGAGAGAGAGAGGGAGGGAGAGAGAGAGAGGGGGGGAGAGAGAGATAGAGGGAGAGAGAGAGAGAGAGAGAGAGAGAGAGAGAGAGAGAGAGAGAGAGAGAGAGAGAGAGAGGAGAAAGAAGAAGATGTGTGCGGCGGCTGAAGCTGCTAGCGCACGTGCTTCTGGAGCAAGTGGCTCACGTGCAACTGGAGTACCAAGCAAGCGGTGGTGCAGCATAGAGACGTCAACAGCAGCATCAACCACCCTCTCTACCCCCGCTCACGGCCACCATCCTCATCACCTCCCCACGGAAAAAGCAGCTGGAGGGGCACGGAGGCGTGGCGGGTGCAGTTGCTGGCACGATGGCCCGCTACTGCAGTTGGCGGATTGGTACTTTGGTGCTGCTGGTATGCGCTGGTGTGTTGCTAGTGCCAGCGCGCTGGCTTGCTAGTCGTGAGCGACGGGCAAACGAACGACGGGCGGCAGCGCGACAGATGGAGAAAAGTCGAGGGTCTGAGGAGATGAAAAGAGAACGTTCAGCCGAGGACGGAGAAAAGTTGAGGGCAACAAGAGTAGTGCGAAACATGCCATGCAACTCACACGGAAACTGACGCAGTTAAATATACTAGCCGCAGAATGCATAGAATACAAGCGGGAATGACCCAACGAAACCAGGAGAACGGCGGAGCCAGATTTTCTTGTGCAGGATGTCCTGAAGGAGGCAGTGGAGAATTCCAGTAGGTGGACCTCGTAGTCGCGCTGTGCCGCAATATGCATCAGTACCCAAAGAGTGGTCATCTTTGGGGTGTAGGAGAAGGTAAAAAATAAGCCCACCCTCTTTCGCTCACTGAAGCATCTCGCCGCATAGCGTGCCCTGAAGACACATGCGACGATCCGGGTGGACGCTTCATCTTGACGATCCACATGCGTCGACGTAGGTGCCTCTGGACGTCCACGATGCCATATCTGCATCTATGGTTGCTAACCATTGAGAGGCCAAGGGTTCCGAGACTGCCTTAGTGTAAGTGTAAGGAGTCGATTTGTCAAGAGGTTCAGGGTCACCCTCAAGGGCAATGGAACAGAGATGAGGAGCAGCATCTGCAAGGAAAGCCAGTTCGAACAACTTGTCCTGTAAGACGTCACCGCTAAAGACAGGCGCACCTTCGATGTACGGAAGAGGGGCAGGGTCAGAGATCAGCTGAGTGGTGTAGCCAAGGCGGTGGGTAGAGGCAAAGTCTGTGTCAGCAGCAACGAGAGTAGAGACAGATGACGGAGGAGCTGTAGGGTCAGTGACGAGAGAGGGGTTAACACGAGAGAATATAGGACGAGCAGTACGGAGGAAATCTGAGAACGGACGAGGGGGGACAAAAAGAGACGACTAAGGAGGGGATAGGAGAATAGGAGGAGGGGCATAAGGGGGGAGAGAGCGGATGCTCATAGAGTGAAAACCAAGAACAATAAACAAGTGACGAGTACGAGGTGGACGATGAAGAAAGGGAGAAGAGAGTAGAGGTGGAGGCAGCTATGAACGAGGAAGAAAACAGGCCGGGATTGAGTCAGTGATAGGCGGCAGTGAGTAGGAGGCGAAGGAAAAGAAAGAACAAGAGACTGAAGATTAATCATCGGAGGCGAAGATGGATGCTACGGCTGCTGCTGCTGCCGCTACTGATGATGCTGCTCCTGCTGCGATGTTGCTGCTGCTGCTGGTGCTGCTGCTGCTGCGACCGGCGCCGTCCCACGCCACTCCCAGGGTCCAACCTCTCGGAAGTACCACCAGAGCTGGAACCTCGAGCGTTAGCACCACCGGAGCTAGCACCATGAGCGTCAGCACCTGCAGAACCAGCACCCCCACAGCCGGCACCCACCACTGTTGGGTGGCTAGTGTGATGGGGCAAAAGCGGGCTGCGACAGATGACGAATGGAAGGGGGGTGTGTGAGCCACGGGGGGGTTTTTCTAAGCGCGATAGGAAGGGTCCGCAGGGGCCTTGCTAAAACGCGACATGAGAGGGGGGTCTGCGAGGGCCTTCTCAAGGGGCGACGGGAGGAGCTCTCAGGGCGCGCTAGGGTAGGAGCTAGGAACGAGCTAGAGGCGGATCCAACTTCTGATCGTGTTTCGTGTCGCCTTCGGACTCAGCAGCCCCAGATATGCACCCAACCTCATCTTTCAAGGTCTCTGCCAAGCTGGGTCTCTTGCTATATTAATGTTTGCTCAGTGCTCTGCCTCGTTATTGTCCTCCGTACACTCTATTCATTTAAAAATCATAAGAGAAGAATTGAAGTTTCGATATAAGCTGAGCCCGTGTTGGCAGGAGTCGATCCTAGAAGTTCGATTCCCAGCCGCGGGTGTAAATATTCCTGAGAATTTTCGAGTCGTGACTACCAAACTATGGCACACTGCACAAGCTTCTCCGCAGCGAAACCCCGAGCATGCATCTCACCACCGCCACCGCCGGCATTGGCGCCACCGTCGCAACAATCACTTGCGACGCGACGTTTTCCGAGATCCAGTCGCTCGTCGCATTCACCAGCGAGCACAGCAGCATCTTGTATCGCGGCATCACATATCGCGGATTCGCACGGTCTCACTGCTTCGTTTTCGGTCCCCGCGTCACCGCCAGTCACAGACTCACAGTGTTGCTCATCCCAGAGGACGATTTCCGCCTCCGCCGCCGCCGCCGCCGCCTCCGCACGTTTACAGCAGAACGGAAACCGTTTCGCAAACGCACACAACATTTCGTCTGGCCGCTCACGACCGTTCGATTCGTCACGCGGAAGAGAGCGATTGGCCGTCCGTTGCGGGGCGGCTGGCAATGCGAGTAGTCGCGCCTCCCCATTCGCCGCCAGAGTTGCCGCGGAGCCCGCAAGCGCGCGCGGATGGCGGATATGGGGAGGTGAAGGGGGAGGCAGATGGGGCGGGGACGGGGGAGGGAGACGGGGAGGGGAAGGTGTAAGAAGACGAGGAGGCGGGGGACTGGCGCAAGGGAGGCGGAGAGAAGGAGGTGGGGCAGGCGAGGGGAAGGCGCGGGCCGTGGGGGGCGCAGTGGCGGAAGGCGCAGCGGCGGGGAGGGCGGCGGAGGAGACCGTGCTGGAGGTGCGGCGCGTGAGCTTCCAGCCGCACGGGTCTGACAGCTGGCTGCTCACTGACGTGTCGCTCTCGCTTCCTAAGAACAGGTCTCTCTCTCTCCCTCAGCTCTCCCCGCTCCTTCCCCCCTCCTCCCCTCTTCTCCTCCCCGCTTCTCCTCCCCGCTTCTCCTCCCCGCTTCTCCTCCCCGCTTCTCCTCCCCGCTTCTCCTCCCCGCTTCTCCTCCCCGCTCCTCCTCCCGCTTCTCCTCCCCGCTTCTCCTCCCCGCCCTCCCCGGTCCTCCCCGGTCCTTGCCGCCCTCCCCTCCCTTCCCGCCCTTCCCGCTTCTCCCCACCCACCCCGTTCTCCCGGCTCTCCCCCATGCCATGTGCAGCAGGAACGCTTTCCGTGGCACCAGCTGCTATGGTAGGGGTGAATGGTTGCACGTCTCTTCCATGCTTCTCGCCTGCTTCTCGTTTCTCGTGCTTCTCTTCTCCCATGCCTCTCCCATGCCTCTCGCATGCCTTGCCTGCATCAATCAACTTCTCCCCCTCTGCCATTCCGACCCTGCCACCCGACCCTGCCACCCGACCCTGCCACCCGCCCCGGCAACCCGACCCTGCACGACAGCCTAGGGCTCATCTTCGGCCGCAGTGGGGGCGGCAAGACCACTCTCCTGCAGGTACGCCTGCTGCCATGCTGCCACACTGTTCGTAATCAGTACTCCCAGCACCACTGCCACATTACTCGCCTGTCAACCCACCGCCACCCAGCACACTGCACATTGCAGCGTCTTTCAAGGCGCCTCAAATCCTCATCCAGCACGGTGCAACGCACGCACACCCCCCCTCCCCCCCCCCCCCCTCCCCCCTCTCCCCCCTCCCCCTTCCACATGACATTGCATTCACTGCGTTTTTTTTTTTTTTTTCCTTCGTACCTGACTGTTTCAATCATAAGTTCTTCCCAATTCACGGCCTCGTTCTCAGCCATTCCATGCATAGGATGGTTATGGGTGGGTGGTTAAGGTGAGGCCTGAGATGAGGTGATTGGGGGGATAACCGTCCCATGCATGTTCCCTCTTCCCCATCAGCTCATCCCGGGCCTCACCATAACCACCCACCCACCCACTGCACAGCACCATAGCGGTACTAGGTGCAGTGGGTGACTTTTGAGTCGACTCAAAAGCCACCCACTGCACAGCACCATAGCGGACCTAGGTGCAGTGGGTGGTGGTGGGGCCATCGGGAAGAATTTATGAAAGGCGATGGGGCCCCACCACCACCCACTGCACCATAGCGGTACTAAGTGTGGAGCGTGTCAAAACTCGTCCTCTTCCTCTCCCCCTCCTGCCACCTGTCCCTCCCCTCCCCCCCCTCCTCCCCATCAGCTCCTATCAGGTCTCACCACCCCCACTCAGGGCACCATAGCCATGCCAGCACCTTCCCCACCATCCCTTTCTGCCTCCTCCTCGACCGCCTCAATCTCCCCGCCTTCGCCCGCCCTCATCCTTCTCTCACGCGCTGAGCTCTCTGAGAGGGTCGGCATTGTCTTTCAGTTCCCTGAACGGTGAGTCCCTCCCCTTGCCCCTTCGCCCCTTAGATGGGCGTTTCCCCCTTGTCATGCTTCTTCTGCTGCCCCCTTCCGCTGCCCCTCCCTCTCTGTTCTTTCCCCGTCATTACTCTTCCCCTCTCCCCCCACCCCACTTTCGTTTCGCCACTCCACCTGTCTCCTTCCTCCATCACACTCGCCCTCTCTCCCCCCTGCTCCCCAGCTGCCCCTCTCTCTCATTAACCCCAAAACTATCCCCCTTCCCTCATCCCCCCCTACCCGCCCCATCCCCCGCATCTCCCCCTCCCCATATCACCGCATCCTCCCCCCCAGCTACTTTCCTCACAGACGGTGTGCTGGCAGAGCAGAGCTCACATTCTGCTGGCAGAGCAGAGTTCACATTCTGCTGGCCTTCACAAGTGAGCCGCGAGCTGCCCTCGTGCTGCCTTCCCCTAACCTCCCTCCATCCTCACATGCCCTTACCCCCCCCCCCCCCACCTCACCAGCTACTTCCTCACGGATAGTGTGTTGGCAGAGCTCACATTCGGCTGGCCCTCTCGGGTGCAGGCAGGAGTGAGCTGCCGTCTTGCTGCCTTCCCCCGCCCTTCCCCCATCCCCGCATGCCCATTCCCTCTTCTCCCCCAGCTACTTCCTCACAGACAGTGTGCTGGCGGAGCTCACCTTTGGCTGGCCCTCACGAGTGGAGGACATTCCTCTCCGCCAGGCGCTGGCTGCGCGTGTGCAGGCTGCACTCATCGCGGTGAGGGATGGTGCGGTGGGCTAGGGTGGGGTGGGGTGGGGTGGAGTGGGGTGGGGTGGGTTAGAGTGGGTGTGTAAGCAGGCAGTGCACTTCAATGTCATGGGTCGAGGACATTCCTCTACCCCTGGCGTTGGCTGCCCGCGTGCAGGCGGCGCTCATTGCGGTGAGGAGTTGTGGGGTAGACTGAGGTGCAGTGAGGTGGAGTGCGGTGGGCTGGTAAGCAGGCGGTGCACTGCAGAGCCACGAGTGGAGGACATTCCACTCCGAAAGGCCCTGGCTGCCCGCGTGCAGGCGGTGCTCATTGCGGTGAGGGGGAGGAGTGAGGTGGGGAGGAGTGAGGTGGGGAGGAGTGAGGGGGGGAGGAGTGAGGTAGGGAGGAGTGAGGTGGGGAGGAGTGAGGTGGGGAGGAGTGAGGTGGGGTGGAGTGTGGTGGGGTGGAGGTGGGGTGGAGTGAGGTGCGGTTGGCTGGGTAAGCATGATGTCACAGGTGGAGGACATTCCACTCCGGCAGGCGCTGACTGCCCGCGTGCAGGCTGCTGTCATTGCGGTGAGGAGTTGTGGGGTAGACTGAGGTGCAGTGAGGTGGAGTGCGGTGGGCTGATAAGCAGGCGGTGCACTGTAGTGTCACGAGTGGAGGACATTCCCCTCTGACAGGTGCTGGCTGCGCGCATGCAGGCCGCAGTCATTGCTGTGAAGGGTAGAGTGGAGTGGTGGTGAGGGGTTGAGTGGAGTGGTGGTGAGGGGTTGAGTGGAGTGGTGGTGAGGGGTTGAGTGGAGTGGTGGTGAGGGGTTGAGTGGAGTGGGTGCACTGCAGTGTCACGAATGGAGTGGGGGACATTCCACTCCAGCAGGCGCTCTCTCGCTCCAATTTGCTTAAGCGTTTCTTCAGGTTTGCAGCTATTCCATTATGAGTTTGGACACACTCCACTCTGGCAGGCGCTCGCTCGCTGCACGCGTGCAGGCGGCAGCAACCCACATGGTTTCATCTCGTCCCACGTTCTACCTCCTCCTCTCCCACGCTCACTAACCCCCCACACACAGGTGGGGCTAATGGGCGTGGCTCTGGACACCAACCCGCATGCTCTCAGCTAGTCCCTCCCTCTGCATCCTCCTCTCCCACACTCACCCTCCTTTCCACGTCCCTCAACCGCCCACTCCCCCTCTCCCCCCCACTTCCCAACACACAGGTGGGGCTAATGGGAGTGGCTCTGGACACCAACCCGCGTGCGCTCAGTGGGGGCAACCAGCGCCGCCTTGCTCCCACTTATCCCCCCTTCCCCCCCCCCCCCTCACACCCCACGCACCTGCAGGTGGGGCTAATGGGAGTGGCGCTGGACACCAACCTGCGTGCTCTCAGTTCGTCCCTCCCTCAACGTCCTCCTCTCCCCCACTCACCCCCCTTCCCTCCTCCCTCCACCCACATCAACACAGGTGGGGCTAATGGGAGTGACCCTAGACACCAACCCGCGTGCGCTCAGTGGGGGCAACCAGCGCCGACTTGCCCTCGCTATCCAACTCGTCAGTACACCCTCCTCTCCTCTCCGTTTCTCCCCACACCTGAGTAATTAATGTTGAAGGCAGGCGCCTCGTGCTGCCCTCGTGCTGCCCTCGTGCTGCCCTCGTGGTTCCATGTCTGGGTTCTGTGTCTCAAAGACACGAAGCCAGCACAGCAGCAGCACCGAGCTCAGTTCACGATGCCATGCTTGGTTCTAAGTTGTTTAAAGAACCAGCTCAATCCACGTCACGATGCCATGCTTCAATCACCGACTGCTTCCTTAGTCCCTACCCTTGCCGCACGACATTCCAACCAACTGCCCGCACCTGTTTCTCAGGTTCGGATGCCGGAGCTGCTGCTGCTGGATGAACCTCTTGCTGGGCTCGGTACGTGTAATGACTGATAATTGATGATTGATGATAGATGGCCCTCAAGTGCCCGCCTGACTGCTTTAAAACCATGAAATGCCTCAATAGTGCGCTAGCTGCTACGCGCTACGGGCTTGTCTCTTCATTTGAAACGAAATGGCTGGATCGAAACAGCTGAAGGCTCTGCATACAGCTGAAGGCTCTGCATACAGCTGAAGGCTCTGCATACAGCTGAAGGCTCTGCATACAGCTGAAGGCTCTGCATACAGGTCATTCGGCACCATTGTTTGTTATTCTCTTCTGTCTTGCTTTTTTTTCCCTGCCTCCATTGCGCCCTTTGATCCCCTCTCTCTCCCCCCCAGACTGGAGGGCGAGGACGGACGTGGTGAGGCTGCTGGCGGCACTCAAGAGGGAACGCTCCATCCTTGTTGTCAGCCACGACCTCAGGTGATTCTTGTTGTCAGCCACGACCTCAGGTGATTCTTGTTGTCAGACACGACATCAGGTGATTCTTGTTGTCAGCCACGACCTCAGGTGATTCTTGTTGTCAGCCACGACCTCAGGTGATTCTTGTTGTCAGCCATGACCTCAGGTGATTCTTGTTGTCAGCCACGACCTCGGGTGAATCCTTAGGGTCTTCATGAATTGAGTGGGTATTTCATGTGATGCTTCAGGGTTTCATGTGCTTTTTATAAACGAAGATATTGCCATTCCCCAGATTCACCATCTCCCTCATGTGACTCCTTTAGTAGGAACTCACGCCCTCCCTGTTGTCAGCTCGTGTTTACAATTCAATATTGTCACATTTGCCCTTCGTTTCTCCGCAGGGAGTTGGCCCCGTTAGTGGATCGGTCGTGGCGGATGCAGATGGGGGGGAGGCTGAGGGAGGAGCCGCTACCAGCAGCCGTGTCAGATGACGAAGGAGACGTGAATTTCCCCTGGCGAGCGTGATGTTATATGAACGTGATGTGAACGATCGCAGTGCAGTGTGCATCCTCATTGGGAAGAACCACTACCAGCAGCTGTGTCGAATGATGACGGCGGCGTGAATTTTCCCTGGTGAGCGTGAACGCAGGATGAAGAAGTGACGTGGCTTTGACTCGGGAGCGGTGTGTCTGTCTGGTGCAACCAGTGACCTTTGTCCATTTCATACCACAGGATCAAACAACCAGTCATGAATCAACCCTCTTTACCTGCTTTGGTTGACAAAATGGATGTGAGAATTCAAGTTTTTTTTTACAGATTGCAGCCTTATGGTAGTAAGGGGTGAATCTCTCTTGTTATAGAACAGTGAGATTTTAATTTAGACGAAGGGCTTGATACGGTGTCTGGAATAAATTCGTATGCATGTATATTTCTACGTTAGCTTGAACAGTTAGCAAATTTGGTTAGGGTGGAGGATAATGTGTAACACCAATTCAGTAACGCGTATGCGCACATGTTCCACGAAGAGAATCTGTCAGTCAGTCCGCAAGAAGTTATGTAGGGGAAGTTGTAAGCACCACCGAATCCCCGACGCGTCTCGCATCTCCGCGTCTCGCGTCTTGCGTTACGTCTCCCGCCATCGTGCGTACCGTCCCTCCAGTCAACGACACCACCACGAGTGGTGGTCGCTTTCACTTTTGCGTTCATTTTGGAACGGCCCAATTTGAACGTAATTAAGCAACGCGCTAATAGAATCCCACCATGGACCAGTCGAAGCGCGGTCCAAGGGCGGGCGACGCGGAGGTCGTGGATACGGCGAGCATTCCGGCGGGCATTGCCTCGGGTGCCGCGGAAAGAAACTCAGAGAAGGGCGGGATGGCGGAGAGGGATGCGGAGGGTGGCGAGCGGGCGGAGAAGGCGGAGAGGGCCGCGGAGAAGGGGGCGGAGGCGGCGGGAGGGGGGATCGGCGCAGCGGACGAGCTGAGGGCGCGCGTGGGCCGTCGGATGGCGAAGAAGATCAAGAAGGTGGTGGCGGCGGGCAAGGGCGACGCGAAGCACTACTACGACGTGTACGGCGCGCAGGTAGGCGCGCGGTGGGGGGGGGGAGGAGGGGGCGGGGGGGCGGGGGAAGAGAGAGGGGGGGGGGAGGGACAGGGGGTGGAGGGGAGGAGGTGTTGAGGCCCGCAGAGCAGAACGACATGGTGGGGGGAGGAGGGTATTGGGGGGCCGCAGGTGTATGGGCGGGGTGAGGAGGGGGTACACTCCAACAAGGGCGGCAGCCAAGCCAAGCGCTGCTACTAAGATGTGAATGTCCCGTGCGCAGGCCGGTGAGTGAGGGGGGAGGGGTTGGGTTAGCAGAGGCCCGCACCGCATGTATGGGTGCAGTTAGGCATATTCCTTTTGTGACGCCTCAAAAACCCTCCCGCGCCCTGAATCTGCGTGTGATAAGTCAACTTTTGAGTCCACTAAAAAATCGACTTTCCTCAAGCCCTCCCGCCCCCTGAATCTCCCCCACTGACCGACCTCTCCCGCTGGCGCTGGGTTCCATTCCGTCTGCCAAAGCGCATGCCAACCGTCTCCTTTCCCTCGCCCATTTCCCCCTTTCCCTTTCCCCCAATCACTCCCCGCCCCTTCTCCCCCTTCCCCCCGTGCTCCCCCCTCTTTCCTCTCCCACCCCCTCCTCTCCTCCCCTTCCCCCTCAGGCGCGTGCAGAGCTGGAGCTGCGCCCGCCTGTGTCTAAGGGCGCAGAGCAGCGCGCCAAGCCTCTCAGCTTCACTGTAAGTGACTCTGGGGTTGAGGGGTTTGGGGTTGAGGAGTTTGGGGACTGAGGGGTTTGGGTTTCAGAGGCAAGGGATTCGGGGATGAGATGAGATGAGATGAGAGGCACATAGCTCGTGAGTGAGTGAGATGTCCTCAGCACGCTCACTTGCATGCCATGCCGTCTCCAACCTGACTATTCCCCTGCCACTCTGCCTCGCCTGGCTTGGCAGGATGTGCAGGATTTGATTCTCTGGGTGCTCACAGGGGAGGTCAACCCGCAGTGGGTATTCATCAAGGTGGGTGGCAGCATGTATTCCTACATGCATTTCTCAATTCAAGGTTTTTTCCCCCCTTTTTTTTTAACCGTGTTCCGCTGTACTTCTGCCTAAGCATTCACATCTGGTCTTGCACACACATGGCTGCATGCACTCACTTGCAATTCCAGAGTAGCACTACCAAACATTCCAATCTTGAGTCCTCGCATTGAAGTACGAAACAAGGGCTTCTACAGAAGTGTTATACATTTCCCTTCATCATCTCTTCTCTCCCCTCCCCCTCCCCCCTGTTCCCCCCTCCCTCTTCACCAGCTCTGATACAAGCCGCTGGTATCAAGGGTGGTGGTGCTGCTGGTGCAGGAAAATATTTCTTTCCCCTCCTTTTTCCTCATTTCCGCCTCTCCCCTTTCCCCGCTTTCTCCCATTCCCCCATTTCCCCCCTTTCCCCCATTTTCCCCCTTTCTCCCCCTCCCTCCTCACCCGCCCTGGCAGAACAAGCCGCTGGTATCAAGGGTGGTGGTGCTGCTGGTGCCAGGAATCGATGCCCATACCTTCCACTCCCACCCAGACCTCTTCCCGAACCTGCACCGCTGCTTCGGCGGCAAATCTCTGCCGTTGAAGGCTGTGAGGTGAGGAAGCGTGTCCTCATTCTCATCTCACTCTTCCTCCCCTCAAGCCCTTCCCTATTTTCCTTCCCTCCGTTTCACTCTTCCCCTCACTCGTGTTACTTGATCATGAGATCCTGATCTCGTGCTCTTTCTGCCTCTCTTCCTCCCCCATCCCCACATTCCATCCCACATCCTTATCTCGTGATCTAATTGCTCCCCTAACAGCCCCCATTCCCCCATCCGCCCATCCCTTCATCCCCCCATCCCCCCATCCAGTCAGCACAATGTTGTTTCGTGAAACACTAGCAGTGCCTTCCCATCAGTCTTCCCTCCCCCACACACCCCCCCATTCCGCACAATGTCCAATACAGCAAGTGCCATGCTCTCACCACCCGTTGCTTGTTTCTTGAAACGCCACTAGCAGTGCCTTCCCACTGTCTTCCCCTCCCACCCTCCCACCACCACCCGCCCATCACCCCAGCAGCAACGGTGTCAGACACAAAGAAGGCCATGTTTGCACGACCCATTGCTGCTTCTTGAAGCGTCGATAGCAGTGCCTTGCCTTCCCATCTGCCTTTCCCTCCGCGCACCACCCCCTCACCAACCCCCCATCAGCCCAGCAGCAACGGTATCAGACACCATGAAGGCCATGTTTGCACGACCCGTTGCTCTCAAGGTACTCTTTTCACCACACGGTGATTGGTCGTGGGTCGTGGCAGGGGGGGTGGTCATGCCCCAGTCAAAAGCATGTGTCGGCGTTTTTTTCGTTGTGCTGTCTAAGAACAAGGAGAGAGCGCATGTAATCTGACGTGAAAGAGCAAGGAGAGAGCGCATGTAATCTGACGTGAATTCGTCACACCACATGGGATGGGACCGCCCTCAACCTATGTTCTTGCCATCTGTCGCCCATTATTTAACTCTTTGCCACCCGTTTGTCGAATTCTTGACCACTTTACCGACCATTATTGTTTGCCGGCCAATATTCGCTTCCCTGCCGGCCATTATTTGCCTCTCTGCCGCCCGCCCTTCACCACTTTGCCGCCCCTAGAAAAGCACCAGCTCGTCGCCTGCCAAATCAGCAGCTGCCACGTCAGCACATGCGGACAGCAGGGCAGGAGCAGGTGTGACAAACGGTGTGAGCTGTGAAGTCAAGGAGGGGACGAGTAGGGGTTTGCGGGGGGGTGAAGAGAAGCAGACGAATAAGAACGATAAGGGGGATGAGGATGAGGAGGAAAAGGAGGAAGGGGAGGAGGAAGAGGAGGAGGGAGAGGTATTTGACTCTGAAAGTGAGGAGGAAGGAGGGGAAGGAAAGGGAGAAGGGGAGGTGGGGAGGGAGGAGGGCGAAGAGGGGAGAGACAAAAAAAAGGGTGGTAAAAAGAGGAAGGCAGAGGTACTGGGCGATGGGGGAGGGGAGGAAGAAGAGGAAGGGGAAGGGAGAAGCAGCAAGGCCATGAAGACAAACCAGGAGGGAGAGAGGGGAGTGTGTGTTGTTGCAAGGAGCACCACAGACACACCGGCGCCACCACTTTCCTCCTCTCCCTCCTCTCCCTCTTCCCCGTCCTCCTCACTCCCTTTCAAGTCCAAGCCCCCTCTCCCTCCCGAGCACTACCTGCTGACGTGGCGCCAGCTGAAAGAAAACAATTTTCCGCTGCCCGTGGTGGCGGGCAACAAGGGGCGAGACGGGCAGGATGGGAAAGAGGCTGCCCGGAAAGCAGGTGGCAGCATCTCACTTGCTGATGGCTCGGCTGTTCCTCCTCCAGGTCAGATTGCAATCTTTCCAGGTCAGATTGTAACCTTTCCAGGTCACGTCTCAGGTCCGGTCAGGTTGTCTGGTGACAGTAAATCCATGTCAGATTCGAATGGTTCCACGTCACGTTCCTCGCTTTCCAGGTCAGATTACAAGCACTCCAGGTCATGTTCCATTGATTCCACGTCACATTCCACACTTTCCAGGGCAAATTGTTTAACTTTGAGTCGGCCTCATGTATGTTTGCGTGAAATGAGTCGTGTTTTGAGTCGGCAGCGTCCTTTTTTTTATTAGTCGTCTTTTGAGTCGAAACAGAGCTGACTCAGCCGCGTGTAATCTCTGAGCTGCCTCGAATCATCTCCTTACGACACGTCCACACATGAGCTGGCTGCAGAGGCCTTGAAGAGGAGGACACTTGGCATGGCACACATGCTGTGCCGCGGTCGTGTCCCCTGGGATAGATGAGTGTTCTATAGACGTCTCAAAAGCACTCATTTATCACAGGCCTTGCGGAAGACACTGAGCATGGTACAACTGTTGTGTGCAGGGCTCATGCCCCCTGTATCGCAGACACAGGACTTGAGCTGTATTTGTGCTGAGCTGCGTGCTGCATGCATGCATGCAGGGTATGTGATGACTCGACTTGACCATGGGGGGCCGTGGGCCCTGCCACTCGTGCATGGCTACTGAGGTGTGCGCTGACCCATGCAGAATTGATAAAAGTGTTGTTTTGAGACGTCTCAAAACATTTATATCTCGCGCATGGCTACTGAGGTGTGTGCTGACCCATGCAGAATTGATAAAAGTGTTGTTTTGAGACGTCCAAAACACTTATATCTTGCGCATGGCTACTGAGGTGTGCGCTGACCCATGCAGAATTGATGAAAGTGTTGTTTTGAGACGTCTCAAAACACTTATATCTTGCACATGGCTACTGAGGTGTGCGCTGACCCATGCAGAATTGATCAAAGTGTTGTTTTGAGACGTCTCAAAACACTTATATCTCGCGCATGGCTACTGAGGTGTGCACTGACCCATGCAGAATTGATAAAAGTGTTGTTTTGAGACGTCTCAAAACACTTATATCTCGCGCATGGCTACTGAGGTGTGCGTTGACCCATGCAGAATTGATAAAAGTGTTGTTTTGAGACGTCTCAAAACACTTATATCTCGCGCATGGCTACTGAGGTGTGCGCTGACCCATGCAGAATCTGTGTTGTCCTGTACGCTGCATGCTGCATGCAGGGTATGTGATGACTCGACCATGGGGCGGGGGGAAGAAGAGGGGGAAGCAAGCAGCGGGAGCAGGCAAGGAGCAGCGCAGGGAGTACCATCGACTGGTGGCTGTTGACTGTGAAATGGTGAGTGCGATGCAGGGAGGGATGCAGGGGGAAGAGGGGGAAAGGCAGGCAGAAGAGAGGTGAGAGGGGGCAAGGAGCAGCAGAGGGGGTACCATCGTTTGAGACGTCTCAAAACGAGGGAGGACCATCGGTTGGTGGCTGTTGACTGTGAGATGGTGAGTGCCATGCACGGAGGGATGCAGACATGGGTGGGGTGGGGAAAGAAGGAAGTGGGGGTCAGTCAGAGGGGGGGTCAGTCAGAGGGGGGGTCAGTCAGAGGGGGGGTCAGTCAGAGGGGGGGTCAGTCAGAGGGGGGGGTCAGTCAGAGGGGGGGTCAGTCAGAGGGGGGGTCAGTCAGAGGGGTGGGGTCAGTCAAAGGGGGGGGTCAGTCAGAGGGGGGGTCAGTCAGAGGGGGGGTCAGTCAGAGGGGGGGTCAGTCAGAGGGGGGGTCAGTCAGAGGGGGGGTCAGTCAGAGGGGGGGTCAGTCAGAGGGGGGGTCAGTCAGAGGGGGGGTCAGTCAGAGGGGGGGTCAGTCAGAGGGGGGGTCAGTCAGAGGGGGGGTCAGTCAGAGGGGGGGTCAGTCAGAGGGGGGGTCAGTCAGAGGGGGGTCAGTCAGAGGGGGGGTCAGTCAGAGGGGGGGTCAGTCAGAGGGGGGGTCAGTCAGAGGGGGGGTCAGTCAGAGGGGGGGTCAGTCAGAGGGGGGGGTCAGTCAGAGGGGGGGTCAGTCAGAGGGGGGGTCAGTCAGAGGGGGGGTCAGTCAGAGGGGGGGTCAGTCAGAGGGGGGGTCAGTCAGCGGGGGGGTCAGTCAGAGGGGGGGCCATGCAGACGGGGTTGGGAGTGGTGTTGCAAATGTCTAGCACATGTATTACATATGTGGTACGTTCTATGTTTCCACCCTTCCCGATCTGCTCTTTTTTCCCTTCACTCCCCCACATCGGATTTCATCCTTCCGCATCTGCCCTTTTGTTCGTTTCTGCCCCAATTTCGTTTTTTCTTCTTATTCTTCTTCACCCTCCCTCCCCCATGTGCTCTTTCTTATTCTCACCCTTCCTTTCTGCTCTCCTCCCTTTGTTCGGTCCCCCGCCAGTGCAACACCCGCAAGGGTCTGGAACTCACCCGCCTCACGCTGCTGGATGCCCACGGCAAGGTACGACCAGGTGAGGATAGGTTTGACCAGGTGAGGGCAGGTTTGCTGAGGTGAGGACAGGTTGAAAGAGGTGAGGGCAGGTTGGAACAATTCAGCCTGACTTTCCGCTTGCCCTCCCCTTGACACGTGCCCTCCCCTTGACACGTGCCCTCCCCTTGCCACGTGCCCTCCCCTTGACACGTGCCCTCCCCTTGCCACGTGCCCTCCCCTTGACACGTGCCCTCCCCTTGACACGTGCCCTCCCCTTGCCACTTGCCCTCCCCTTGCCACGTGCCCTCCCCTTGACACGTGCCCTCCCCTTGACACGTGCCCTCCCCTTGACACGTGCCCTCCCCTTGACACGTGCCCTCCCCTTGACACGTGCCCTCCCCTTGCCCCGTGCCCTCCCTGAGTATTCCTTGATATGCACACCAGGTGCTACGCCACTCTTCCCCTTCCCTCTTCCCCTTCCCTCTTCCCCTTTCCTCTTCCCCTTCCCTCTTCCCCTTCCCTCTTCCCCTTCCCTCTTCCCCTTCCCTCTTCCCCTTCCCTCTTCCCCTTCCCTCTTCCCCTTCCCTCTTCCCCTTCCCTCTTCCCCTTCCCTCTTCCCCTTCCCTCTTCCCCTTCCCTCTTCCCCTTCCCTCTTCCCCTTCCCCTTCCCTCTTCCCCTTCCCTCTTCCCCTTCCCTCTTCCCCTTCCCTCTTCCCCTTCCCTCTTCCCCTTCCCTCTTCCCCTTCCCTCTTCCCCTTCCCTCTTCCCCTTCCCTCTTCCCCTTCCCTCTTCCCCTACCATCTATGCATGCCAGGTGCTGCTAGACGAGCTGGTGAAGCCTGACAGCCCCATCACCAACTACAACACGCAGTGCGCGGGCCCCACTCACCCCACCCACCCACCCAGCCACCCACCTACGCCCTCCTCTCATCCCATGCCCTGCATATACCAGGTGCTGCTAGACGAGCTGGTGAAGCCTGACAGTCCCATCACCAACTACAATACGCAGTGAGTCACCAGCTAGCAACCAGCCCCACCAGCAAGCAACCAGCCCCACCACCCCACCAACCAACCAATGCCGCCCCTCCTCTCCCCGTCAATGCTTTCAGGTTTCACCAGCTCGTCTAATAAAAGCACCAAGTGTATGAAGAAGTGTTTTGAGACGTCTCAAAACACGTCTCATAACAGCACCAAGCATGTGCATTGTAGGACTCACCCACTCACCACATTGTAGCACTCCACGCCACAGTGCATCATTTGCTTTTCTTATGAGTCGACTCAAAAGCGGACCCACTCCACGCCACAGTGCATCATTTGATTGCTTTAGCGGACCCACTCCACGCCACAGTTGATTCTTTTGCCCTTGCCCCGCCCGCACCCTTCTCCACCCCCACCCCTCCCACCCACCTCACCCTCTTGCCCCCTGTTGGTGCGTTGTCGAAGATGTCTTTTCTCCTTTTCTTTGTTTCGTAGTTTCAGTTGTGGTGTGCCACTCCTTTAAACCATAAACCAATGTTGCTTAGCAGCCTTTTAGGGAGAACCATAGAGACCTGAACTCACTCCTCCCTCCCTCCCTCCCTCCCTCCCTCCCTCCCTCCCTCCCTCCCTCCCTCCCTCCCTCCACCTGTCCCTCCCTCCCGTGTGTCAGGTTCTCCGGCATAACGCCACAGATGCTGGCCGGAGTGACAACCACTCTGCAGCAGGCACAGGTAAGTGGGGCAAGAGAGAGGGGCGGGTGAGAGGGGCGGGTGAGAGGGGTGGGTGAGAGGGGTGGGTGAGCGGGGCAGGTGAGGGCGTCGGGTGAGGGGAGGGGGTTTGAGGGGGCGAGTGAGGGGGGCGGGTGAGGGGGGCGGGTGAGAGGGGCAGGTGAGAGGAGCAGGTGAGAGGGGCGGGTGAGAGGAGCAGGTGAGAGGGGCGGGTGAGAGGAGCAGGTGAGAGGGGCGGGTGGGCTGCCCTCTACATCTACCCTCGTTCCGACCCTTCATTTCCAGCCCGCTTCCAACCCGTCCTCACTTCCAGTGCACTGCTCACTCTTCACTCTCTCTTCACTGCTCTCTCCCTCTCCCCACCCTTCCCTATCCCCCTTCCCTAATCCCCCACCTCCCTGTACCCCCTCTTCCCACTCCCCCCTTCCCCACTGCCCCCCTTCTCACTCCCCCCTTCCCCACTCCCCCTCCTTCCCACCCTCCTCTTCTCCACTCCCGCCATCCCCACTCCCACTTTCCCAACGCTCTCTTCACCCCCATCAGGAGCATTTTCTCGGCATAGTCAGCGCAGAGACCATCCTGGTCGGCCATTCCACAGAGAGCGATCTGCACGCGATCCGGGCCGTCCATCTGCGCGTGATCGACACGTCACTCCTCTTCCCCCACCCCCGCGGGCCGCCCTTCAAGTGCGCTCTGCGCTTCCTGGCAGTGGATTACCTTGGGAGGACCATACAGGCTGGCTGGTGGGGGGGACAGGGTGGGGAAGGGCGAGCAGGGAGGGGAAGGAGAGGGGGGATGAGAGGGGGGTTGAGAGGAGGATGGTCGTTTCACAGGGGGAGGGGTGGTGCTGCTAGTGGTGGTGCTGATGGTGCCGCTTCTGCTGCTGCTGCTGCAGCGACAGTGGCAGCTTCAGCGGTGGCAGGTGGTGTTGGTGATGGTGCTGCTGGTGCTGCAAGGGGTTACCGCAGGAGTAACACGTGGTGTCGTAATGATCAAAATTCAGTGGCAGCAGCACCGCCCGCTACCGCAGCAGGAGGTGTGGGTGGTGAGGGAGAGGCGGCAGCAAACGGCGGGCAGCATGAGGCTGTGCGTGGGAGCACAGGAGGTGAAGCAGCAGAAGTAGCAGCAGCAGGAGTAGGAGGAACAGCAGCAGCAGCAGGAGGAGCAGCAACAGCAAGCGAGGGGGCATCATCGAGAGAGGGAGCTGTAGGGCAGCAGCAGGGAACAGTGGCATCAGACAGTGCAGGGCATGACAGTGTGGAGGACGCACGGGCTGCCCTTGACCTCGCTCTGCTCAAGATACAACATGGTAACGTGGTAACATGGTAACGTAGTAATGTGGTGTGCTAATGTAACATGGTATTTGAGTAACACGGTAGCATGGTAATGCAGTAATGCGGTACTAGGGTAACATTGTAACACTGTAGTGTTGCACTAGGTTACCATGATAACACCATAACATCGCTGACTGTATCACGGTAAGGTCTCGTCCTAACACCTGTAACATGGTAATATGGTGGTCCACACATGCTTGTGGGGATTGTGAGGTTTACATGTAAGGAGAGAGACTGAGGCAAAGATTTTGCCCACACCCTATTTCACTGCCACAATCTATTTAACGTCCCACCTTCCCACCCACCCCCCACCCACCTCCCACCCAATCTCCTCACTCCCTCCCTCCTTTCCAATCTCTATCCTCCTGTCCCTTGGCTTTCTCTTTCATCTCACACCACTCACCCCACCTTTTGCCTCTTCCTCAGGTCCCCACTTCGGGCTGCCTTGAAGGGCGTCCAAGCTCCACCACATGGAGAACATTCTTGTAGAATGAGGATCGGTGAACTTGAGGCACAATGAGAGAAGAACAATATATCCTTAGTAGGAAGATGGTACAAGCCTGAAAGACTAGAGCAATGTCCTTTCCAAGGATAAGTTCTAGAGAAGTGGGAAGCCACATTTATGTGGCTGAACTCTTGAGGCTAGCTGCAGCACCTCAAAGCTGAGGGCAGGGCTAGCCAACCTTGCCAAGCTAGCAATTGAGGCCACATGTTGCACATGTGGGCCAGGCTGGAACAACAGCCTACATGGCAGCATGTGGCACACCATAGGAGCCAACAAGGTGAGTATGGGATGGGTGGACAGATGGCAATGCCAACTGTGACCACACTTCACTGTGGGTGAGTGTGGTGGAGTGTGGGAGTGTCATGTTCGGCATAATGAGAAGAGAAGGTGCTGCCGATGAGAGTTGAACCCGCGACCACTAAGACCAAAGGTACCCACTGGGACATTCTTGCTTCCACAACACCCCCCCTCAAGGATGTCCCCGGGGTAGGGTGCCTCAAGAGGAAACATGGGTGAGACCGAGAAGACCACGGATGCGAAGAAAAGGGTCACGGGGCAAAGGCTTGGTCCCAATGTCAGCGAGGTTGTCTTGAGTAGGAACATAGTGAAGGGTGATGGAGTGGTCGGCAACATGATCGCGAATGAAATGGTGCTTGATGTCGATGTGCTTGGCCTTGGGATGAAAGACGCCATCGTCCTTGGCGAGAATGATGGCACTGTTGTTGTCACACGAGATACGGGTGGGGCCGGTAGGGGGAAGTCCAACTGCAGTAAGGAGCGAACGAAGCCATAATGCCTCGTGCACCGCGGCGCCCAGAGAGTAATATTCAGCTTCACATGAAGAGGTAGCAACGACGGCTTGGCGTTTGGACTGCCAAGAGATGAGTGACGGACCGAGGAAGAACAAGTAGCACGTAACGGAGCGACGCAGCTCCCCCTCCGGTCCCCAAGAGGCGTCACACCAGCCATGAAGTTCGAGGGTGTCGGGAATGCCACCAAGGAGAAGCCCAAGGGAGGTAGTCCCTTTCAAGTAGCGAGCAATGCGTTTGGCAGCCGAGACGTGAGGAGTAGACCAATCGTGAAGGTGACGAGCAAGAACTCCAGCGCTATATGCGAGGTCGGGACGGGTCCCCACCATGGCATACATGATGGAGCCGACAAACGAGGTGTAAGGGAAGGAGGAGTGCAAGGAGGAAGTCACGGGTGGCTGAAACTTTGTGTCCATGGGAGTGGCAGCGGGGTTCAGTGGAGAGAAGGAGTAGGTGTCTAGAATGGAGGTGATGAATTTGGATTGATGAAGGTGGAGAGTGCGGGAAGTTCGATCACGAGTGATGTGAAAGCCAAGGTAGTAGGAGAGAGGTCCGAGGTCACGAAGTTTGAAGCGAGATGAAAGGGCATGCTTGAATGAGGCAAGAAGAGAGGAGGAGGAGGAGAGAATGATGAGGTCGTCAACATAGACGAGAAGCATGAAGAAGGATGCAGCTGTAGGCCGATAAGGTGAGTGAGGAGGAGCAATGAAGAGGCCGGGGTCCGCACGAGCAGCAAAGAGGTGAAAGGCAGCAAGCTCCTCACGAAGCTTGCGGTACCAGCATCGCGGAGCTTGCTTCAACCCGTACAGCGGTTTGTGTAAGAGACAAACTTGCTCAACACCATGGACCGCCGGAAGGTCATAACCGGGAGGCTGCAACATGTAGAGAATCTCATCAAGGGTGCCGTTGAGGAAGGCGTTGGAGATGTCCAGCTGATGGACGTCCAGGTTGAAAGCGGCAGCTATGGTGAGAAACAAGCGGAGGGTGGCGAAGCGGACGGTAGGAGCAAAGGTGTCATGAAAATCAACACCATCACGTTGCTTGAAGCCTTTGACAACAAGGCGGGCTTTGCGGCGTTCAATAGAACCATCAGCGTTCTCCTTGACCTTGAAAATCCATTTGCATGGAATCGGCTTGCACTTGGGTGGTCGAGGAACAATGCTGTAGGTGTCATTAGCGTGCAGGGCAGCGAGTTCCGCATCAGCAGCCTTGATCCATTCGGCAGCATCAGGGCCGGTACGAGCCTCATGAATGGTTTGAGGTTCGTAATGATGGTGAAGGGCAGCATTGGCAGAGGTGTTGGAAAGAGGAGGAAGAGTGAAGTCAATGGGTTCGGAAGGGGATGGTAAGACCTTGAGGAAGGAGAAAAGGGAAGGATCGGGAAGAGCTGAAGGGGATGGCGGGGAGGAGCGAGTCGTGCAATGGGGAGGGGGAGGCGAAGAGGGAGGAGAGAAGGATGGAAGGTGAAAGTCTTGCGGCGTCGAGGGCAGAGGAAGGTTGGAAAACAATGGAGGAGGAGAAGATGTGGCTGGTGCGGGCAGGTTTGGGGATTGTGGGTGGGGGTTGGTGGAGGAAGGTATGGTGGGGGAAGGAGAGGGAGGGGAGATTGGGTCCAAGGAAGAAGGGTGTGTAGGAGGAGGTAGTGAGGAGGATGTGGGTGGAGATGACGATGGAGGGTCGCGAGAGTCGTCGGAAGGCGGTGCAGAGGGCTCCATGAAGATGACATCACGAGAAAGGATGACACGATGCTGAGATGGGATATAGATGCGGTAAGCTTTGGTGCCGTCGAGATGACCATATCCAACCATGATGCCGGCCGTGCTTCGGTCGTCGAGCTTAGAACGCCGTTGGGAAGGAATGAGGACCGAGACGGGTGAACCGAAGATGCGGAGGTGTGATACATCCGGACGTGCACCGGTCCATAGTTCCATGGGAGTCTTAGAAGTTGAACCACCCCGACTAATGGCATGATTACGAAGATAGGCAGCAGTAAGAGCGGCTTCACCCCACCAGCCTTTGTCCATGCGTGCATCATGGAGCATGGAACGGACCATCTCAAGTAAAGTCCGGTTGGCCCGCTCAGCTACTCCATTTTGCTCAGGTGTGTATGGCGTGGAGAGGTGGCGGGCGATGCCATGAGCTGTGAGGAATGAAGTGAAGGCTTTGGAAGTGAACTCCAAGGCACCGTCAGAGCGAAAGGTTTTGATGGTGTGTGGGGAATGCATGTTGTGCACCCGAGTGACGTAAGCCTTGAAGCATGAAAGTGCATCCGACCGGTGGCGTAGGAGATACACTGTAATGTGGCGGGAGTAGTCGTCGATGAAGGTGAGAAGGTAGCGAGCGCCGCCAATGGTAGTTCCATATGAAAGCGGTCCAGCAATATCTGAGTGAATGAGTTGGAGTGGGGCTGTGGTGCGAGAATGGGACACGCCAAATGGCTGACGTGTTTGTTTCCCACGATAGCACGAGATGCAGGGGGGAATCGAGGTGGAGGAGAGGTGAAGACCGGTGACCAGCTGCTGCCGATGAAGTGTTGACAAGGCCTGCATGTTGAGATGCCCGAAACGACGATGCCAGAGGTACGAGGAGGTGGTGGTGGAGGCTGGACATGCAGTTGGCTTGATAGAAGGAGCACCACTGCTCCCATGATGCAGTTGAAGATAAAACAGATTGTTGCGGGTGTAGCCCTCGCCAATAGGAACGTCATCAGATGTGAGAACAACGCGCCCAGCAGCGGGGAACGAGACGGCAACGCCGGCAGCACCAAGCGCACGAACAGAGAGCAGGTTGTGAACTGATGAAGGGAGAAATAGAACGTTGTCAAGCTGAATGGTGGTTTCCGATGTTGGTGACCGAAGAGTAGCCACCACCGTGCCGACTCCCAAGACCTTGTAAGTCTCTCCTCCACCAAAACGAACAAGGATCTCTTCGTTGGGCTTCTTGAGAGACGAAAACAGCGAACGATCCGAGCAGATATGGGAGGATGCGCCGCTGTCCACCAGCCACGACGAAGTCCGCTCCATATTGAATGAGGAGGCCGTGAATGCCGATGCGTAGGGAGCCCCATAAGGGAAGAGGAGGAGGAGAAGGAGGATGGTGAGAATGAAGACAGCAGCGACGAGAGGAGTCCATGTGGAGAAGATGGGGTGGTGGCTGGTGCTGACAGCAATGTCCACGTACCGGGAATCAGGTACGGACTGAGGGGTTGATGGGGCAGGAGGTGGTGTGGGGGTCGGAGTAGCTTCAGCAGAGGAGCTGGTGGAGACATGCACCGAGGGTTGGAAGACGGATTTCTCCCGTTTAGAGATTTCTTCAAGCTCTTTCTTCTTCTTCAATTTGAAGCATTCATCGATGGTGTGACCCGTTTTCTTGCAGTAACGGCAGGTGGGCGACTGGCGTGAACCGGAGCGAAGAGGGTGGGAGGGCTGGGAATTGAGGTTGTATGCACCCTCCATGTTACGGCTTGTACCAGATTGTGACCGCTCCCAATCGGCATCGAGTAGGCGTGACTGTAGGTATTCAACCGTCATAGACTTTATGTCTTTCACGGTGCAAATGGTTTCAGTAAGGGTCTTGAACGAGTCCGGAAGGTTGAGGATGATGGAGATTACCACCACCCATGATGGTAGCTCAAAGCCGGCAGATTTGAGTTGGTGTGTAAGGTTTCCAACTCGATCAAAGTAGGAGCGAAGACTTGTTGTTGGGTCCATCCGTGTAGTGATGAGATCCCGGAGGAGAGCCACTTGTGCATGGTTGCCCATGCAGTCGAACCGCGCCATGATGCATCCCCACATATCCTTTGTCGTGTTGGCTTGAGCAAGAGTGAGCGATAGTTGAGGATGTACGGCTGACATGAGAAGATAGTATGCATGCTCCTCTTTTTCTTCATCCGGCAGCGAAGCAATCGAATGGGCTGTCTTAGGGGCTGCACCGCTGTTGCCTTCGGTAGTCTCTCCACCGCTGGTTGTGGAAGAGGAGATTGAAGGACGCGAAGCAACCTTGGGATCTCCAAGGAGGGAGATCAGCCCGAGGACATTGAAGATGTAGCAGATCTTTTTCTTCCATGGAATGAAGTTGGAACCATCTGGTTCCAAGATGGGAAGGGTGTGCCGACCGAGAGGCGTTTCAACTTGAGCCATGAAGTGTGCAACGTTCACTAAGCTAGAAGCCTTGCTCTGATAGCATGTAGAATGAGGATCGGTGAACTTGAGGCACAATGAGAGAAGAACAATATATCCTTAGTAGGAAGATGGTACAAGCCTGAAAGGCTAGAGCAATGTCCTTTCCAAGGATAAGTTCTAGAGAAGTGGGAAGCCACATTTATGTGGCTGAACTCTTGAGGCTAGCTGCAGCACCTCAAAGCTGAGGGCAGGGCTAGCCAACCTTGCCAAGCTAGCAATTGAGGCCACATGTTGCACATGTGGGCCAGGCTGGAACAACAGCCTACATGGCAGCATGTGGCACACCATAGGAGCCAACAAGGTGAGTATGGGATGGGTGGACAGATGGCAATGCCAACTGTGACCACACTTCACTGTGGGTGAGTGTGGTGGAGTGTGGGAGTGTCATGTTCGGCATAATGAGAAGAGAAGGTGCTGCCGATGAGAGTTGAACCCGCGACCACTAAGACCAAAGGTACCCACTGGGACATTCTTGCTTCCACAACAATTCTCACACGCCTCTCTGCCTCCGGACAGCGCTGCACCGTCGTGCTGCACCTGCAAGCTCCTTTCCTCTCCCACCACCCCTCACACGCCTCCCTCAGGCCCGCACTTCGGCCTGCCCTGGGAGGTCCTCCAAGCTGCACCACATGGAGACCATTCTCACGCGCCTCTCTTCCTCCTCCTAATTTATCACCCTCACACCCTTTCCTCACGTCCCCACCTCATGCCCCTCCCCCAGGTCCCCACTTCGGGTTGCCTCGGAGGGCCTCCAAGCAGCACCACATGGAGACCATTCTCACACGCCTCTCCTCGTCCGGGCGGCACTGCACCATCGTGCTGCACATGCAAGCTGCCCCTCATCCCCTCAACTCAAGCCATCTTCTCAACTCAATCACCTCCTTCCTTCACAAACCCCCCTTATCCCCTCCTTCACACCACCACCCATGCCCCTTCCTCAGGTCCCCATTTCGGTTTACCTCGGAGGGCGTCCAAGCAGCACCACACAGAGAACATTCTCACCCGTCTCTCTGCCTCCGGGCGGCACTGCACCGTCGTGCTGCACATGCAAGCTGCCAGGCCGGACCTCTTTCTGGGCGGCAACTGGAATGGCACGTCAGAGATTCTGTGCCTCAAGCACGGGGACTTGGGCAAGGTTGTGAGCAGAGAGGTATGGAATGGAACGAGAGCGGCGAGAAGTGCACTGACGCCTCGTTCATTTCAAGTGCATTTCTGCTTGCGAGAATGCACTTTAGGGAGCCACCGCAAAGTGCATTTCTGCTCCCATTGTTGCTTCGCTGCTCCTCCTTCCTTTCCAGCTATGCCACCATCATCCCGCCTCTCCCCCCACCTCTCCGTCTCGCTTCCCCCCCCCCTTTCTCTCTTCCGTAGTTCCGTCTTCTCCCATCTCTCCCTCTCTCTCAGCCCTCTCTCCCCCTCTCTCCCCCTTTTCTCCCTCTCTTTCCCCCCTGTCTTCCCCTTGCTCCCTCCGTGCACAGGTGTGCAAGCCATCTCTCAACCTCCTAGCAGCCACCTTCCCCTCCCTCATGGCCTCCCTCTCTGCCCGCTGCTCCTCCCTCGCCTCCATGCCTCGACTCGCCGCTGCCCTGGCTTCCGAACCTGCCTCCTCCGAACCTGCTTCTACGCTTGCCACCAGCCCTGCGTCCAAACCTACACCTGAGCTTGCCCCCAAACCTGCATCACCGCCACAACTAGAGACTGCAAAGGAGCAGAGACAGGCACAGCAGCAGCAAATGGACCAGCAGCAGCAGCAGCAGCAAAAGGAAGAGAAGGAGCAGAATCAGCTATCTTTGGCACCTACTCATCCAGCTGACTGTGCTGTGGAGGAATCTTCCAGGAAGGTGGATGCGCAGGTGGGGCAGGTGCACGAGTCCCTGCCGCCCAACACGCTGCTGCTTGTCTTGACCGGGTGCGGCGACACGCCAGCTGTCAGACGGTAAGTGGTGGGTGCGGCGACACGCCAGCTGTCAGATGGTAAGTGGTGGGTGCGGCAATACGCCAGCTGTCAGACGGTAAGTAGTGGGTGCGGTGACACGCCAGCTGTCAGACGGTGAGGGGTGGGTGCGGCAGCACGCCAGCTGTCAGACGATGAGTGGTGGGTGCGGTGACACGCCAGCTGTCAGTCGGTGAGGTGAGTGGTGGGTGGGTGGGTGGGAGACGCACTGGCTGTCAAAAAGATGAGTGCTGCTTCGAATGCAAGCCAGCTGTGAAGGCCGCGATCCGGTTACCTCTGCCCATGTGTCTCAATTCATTGCATGGATAGAGGATGTTGATGTCGCAAGCTCTCGTGGGGTTGTTGCTTGCTTTGACTCTTGTACCGCATTGCACCGCTTCGTTCTCCCTTGGTCTTCCTTCAATCCCTGCGGCAGCATGATGGAGTGGCGGTGGAAGCGGCAGCAGTGGAGGAGCACGGGTATGGATCCCTGGGACGAGCGCCTGGATGCTCTCTTGAACCGCATGCAGGAACGGGCGTCTGCTGCTCTGTGCTTGGCCACTGTGAAGCAATGAGTCTGCCTTGGTAACTGGTGACAGATAGCTGAGTTGAGTGAACCTCCAAAGGAGCATGGTTATGGAGCCCTGGGATGAGCGCCTGGATGCTCTCTTGAACCGTATGTAGGAACGGGCCTCTGCTGCTCTGTGCTTGGCGACCGTGAAGCAATGAGCCTGTTCAGGTGAAAGGTGACTGTTGGGTTGGGCCTGCTTGAAAGGAGCACGGGGGGATGGAGCCCTGGGACGAGCGCCTAAATGCCCTCTTGAACCTCATGTAGGAACGGGCTTCTGCTGCTCTGTGCTTGGCGACCGTGAAGCATTAAGCCTGTCTTGGTAAAAGGTGACTGTTGAGGTGGTCTCAAAGATGCACAGGAATGGGTACATGGGATAAGCGCCTGGATGCTTTCTTTAATCGAACGTGCGTCTGTGGCGTTGTGCTTGGTGTCAAATGCTTGCTCCGGCCGGAGCCCACGATTGGTTTGGTTGAATATTGCTTCGCTTAATAACAAATAAAATGGTAATAATGTTTAGCAAGGAATGGAACCAATCGTGGTGTCACACGTTACCATATCGATCGATAACAACTCGATGTTAAAAAACGAGTGTCGATGAACACCGACTTCCGTTAATATATAAGATAAAAATGAATGGATAATACAAATAGAACTGTATAAGAATTTACTTCTGCTAAATAATATTGGTATATGTTAATAGCTAGTTTCTTTACAGTTCCAATACATGTTTTTTTCTTGTGAAGTATTTAAACAAAGTAATGGAGACAAAACAAAGTATCATTCTGATTATCAAAGAATTATTAAATTATACTATCAAATGTCTAGGGTTTAGACGCATTTTTGTTACCGAAGATATATATGTCAGAATGTTATAATTGTCTAGCCTGCAGTGGGGTACTCCATAGCGAGTACAACCCAATTAGGATTTCCTATATGTATGCCAACTGCTGCTAGTGCAACCCTCTTCTTCATTCCTCATTTCTTCCCATGCAATTAGAGCATCTACGCTCCTGGCCTGTGGGCTCACCTGACTGCTTCCGCTGCTACTTAGTGTGCTGCACGCCCCGTGGCGTGCCCCTCGCGCGACCCTTAGCGGCCCCGTCGCCACCCCTCGCGGCCCCGTCGCCGCCCTTCTCGGCCCCTCGCGGCCCCTTCGCGGCCCCGTCGCCGCCCCTTCGCGGCCCCGTCGCCGCCCCTAGCGGCCCGTCGCCGCCCTTCCAGGCCCCTCGCGGCCCCTTCGCGGCCCCGTCGCCGCCCCTATCGGCCCCGTCGCCGCCTCCAGCGGCCCCGTCGCCGCCCCTTGCGGCCCCGTCGCCGCCCCTAACGGCCCCGTCGCCGCCCCTAGCGGCCCGTCGCTGCCCTTCCAGGCCCCTCGCGGCCCCTTCGCGGCCCCGTAGCCGCCCCTATCGGCCCCGTCGCCGCCTCCAGCGGCCCTGTCGCCGCCATTTGCGGCCCCGTCGCCGCCCCTTTCGGCCCTGCCTCGACCCCTTTCGGCCCCGCCCCGGCCATGCTCCGTCGCCTGTCGCGGCGCACCGGGGGCACGTGCACCGCCCCCCCTCTTTTCAGGTCGCCTGTCGAGGCGACCTGAGGGGGCCGCGTGGGGCGAGCGTCGCCCCTTCTGCCGCCTGCTTTGGCGCCCTGGGAGGCCGCGCGTCGGCCCCCCCTCCCCCCCCCCCCGTAACCTCCCTACCCGCCATCCCGCCCTGCCCTGTGTTAGGGTTTGGGGGTGGCGAGTAGGGGGTGGCGGGTGTGTGGTCTCCCCTGCTCCTCCTCCTCCTCTGTCTCCCACTGCTGCAGCTGCCGCTGAGGGGGGTGGGTGTGTGGGAGTCGACGGAGTGGTGCCAAGGGGTGGGGTGTGAGTGAACCTAGGGTGCAGCAAGGGGTGTGTGAAAGGGGGGTGCTGTGGGAGTAGAACTAGGGTTTGAGCAGGGGGTGTGTGTCGAGAGGTGTGGGGCAGCTGGAGGAGGTTGTGTGAAGGTAGCTGTCGTGTCGCCTGCAGCGCCTGTAGTGCGTCGCCCTTGCTTCGGTAGCCAGTGAGCCTGTTGCACCAGTCGCCAGTGGGTCCGTTGCTCCTGCCGCTCGTCTTAGCCGCGGAGCCAGTCACTCCAGTAGTCCGTCGCCCTTGCTTCGGTAGCCACTGAGTCAGCCGCTCCTGTGCCCGTGCCTCTGCAGCTTCAGTCGTTGCCTCCCATCTTCTCTCCCTCCATAGTTCCTCCTCCTCACTTGCCCGCTGTGATTAACTATAGCTTTGCTCCCTATTGTGAACTCCTGCTCTATGCCTGCTTGCTCATTGTGCTGATTACACCCCACTTTGGCTATGGGGGTGTGTCAGAATGTTATAATTGTCTAGCCTGCAGTGGGGTACTCCATAGCGAGTACAACCCAATTAGGGTTTCTTATATATATGCCAACTGCTGCTAGTGCAACCCTCTTCTTCATTCCTCATTTCTTCACAATATAATGGCAATTGTTTAAATTTTCTCTAAGGATACTGTATGGATGTCAAGAAGGTATCTTACAAATGTACACTGCATGCATATACATCCTATTGAAGATTTGAATTTACAGAGTAGAAAATTATGCATGAGCTTACATTACCCTACATGACAGCATATGATTAGAACATCGTCAAACAATTGCAGTACAAGAGATAAGCATAGCAATTGATTTTTATTGTCTGTGAATATTTAATCAAATGGGTAATGTTATGGTCTCTCACAAGGCATAACAACGCCAATTGGGCATGGCAGAAATACGTAATGCAGGCACAACTGACCATACATAATACATTGAGATAACAGTGTCTGTAACAAGGTTGATTATGCTTGTGAAAAGGTTGGCTAAATTTTACAAAGTGTAAAAATGCTGGAAAAGGCAGGATTCTTTCCGTTTACTTATTATGATGATCATGCCTCAATGCACAAATACAATGAATAGATAAGTAAAAATAAAGTTCTTCAAACAAAAGAACAAACTATGAAATTGAACGAGGATGGAATGACTAAGGGAAAGTTGGGTACAAGTACAAACCCTAGAAAGCTGTACCCCATATGTGCTACCCCACTATAGCCTACAGTAGCTATGTCATATAAATCTGACACACCCCTATAGGCAAAGTGGGGGAGAACAAGGGGTCACAAGACCAGTCAAGCAAAGCAAAGCAAGCTCAGGGTGGATCACAAAGTCACCACACATTCCGAGCACAAGTTCAAGGCCACAAGGCCAGTTCACATGCAGGATTACATATATATATAAGGCAAGACAAGCAAGAGCAGGTGTATATATATATATGCAACAGTACAAACAAGGTCAAGGGGTGAGCAAGTGAGGCAAGGTAGGCACAAGACCCAGCTGAGTACAGAAGCGCTGATGATCACAAGGCGCAAGTGCCTTGGTGAAGATATCAGCAGTGTTGGCCTCAGAGGCCACGTACGCAAGGCGCAGCTGACCACGCTGCTGTAGCTCACGAGCAAGGAAGTAGCGGAGAGCAATGTGCTTCGTTCTGTGCTCCAGTCTCTGCTCTCGACACAAGGCCAGCATGGCCTTGTTGTCTACGTACAGCACTGGAGGAGAACGAGGCGGCTCTCCGAGGTCAGTCAGCAGGTAGGTGAGCCAGCGAAGCTCCTGTGCAGCCATGGCCCTGGCGTAGATCTCAGCCTCACAACTGGAGCCGAGAACAGAAGACGAGCTGGTAGCCCGCCACGAGATAGAGCCGGAACCAAGGCTGAAGGTGTAACCCTGTGATGACCGCTGCGCAGCCTGGTCGTCAGCACAAGAAGCGTCTGCGTGCCCAGTGAGGACCACTGGGCTCTGCCCTCCAAGCACAAGCCCCATGCCCGACGTACTGCACAAGTAGCGCAACACCCTCTTCGCTGCAGCCATGTGCTCCGGTCTGTGTCTCCCAGGAGCAACATAGCGTGCTAGAATGCTAAGAGGGTATGCAAGGTCAGGTCGTGTGCAGGTCATCAGGTACATGAGGCAGCCAACAAGCTCTGGGTACGGGCCACTCGACTCTACGGACTCATCCAAAGGCAGAGTTGAGAGCGAGTGGCGAGTAGGTAGAGGAGTGGCCTGAGGCGAGGAGTACGTGAAGCCGAAGCGCTGAAGGACCTGCTGCACCATGTGTGACTGAGTCAGGGTAATGGTGCGGCGTGCTCTGTCCCGGGTGATCTGCAAGCCAAGGTAGCTGCGCAGTTCACCCAGGTCTGTGCACGTGTGTCTCTTCTGCAGCTCGGACTTCACGTGGGCGAGTCCAGCAGTGTCAGCTGTGGCAAAGACCAAGTCGTCGACGTACACGAGGATGTAGAACGGCGGCAAAGAAGTGTCGGTGCGCAGAAACAGCGACGGGTCGGCAGTAGAGGGAGCAAACCCAAGGGCCGCAAGTGTAGTCCTCAGTGTGTCGTGCCACTTACGCGGTGCCTGGCGGAGACCGTAGACTGGCCGCTGGAGGCTCCACTGGGTACCAGAAGGGAACGACCCAGTGAAGCAAGGTGGGCGGCGCAGCCAGATCTCCTCGTGCAGGCTGCCCTTCAGGAAAGCTATGCTGAAGTCAAGAGAGTGAAGCTCGTAGTCGCACTGAGCGGCTATGTGCAGCAGTACCTGAAGAGTTGTCATATTCGGGGTGGGAGAGAAGGTCTGAAAGTAGTCAACTCCCTGCCGCTGACTGAAGCCTCGAGCCACGTAACGCGCCTTGAAGACAGGCGGAGTACCCGGCGGCCGCTTCACCCTGAAAATCCACATGCCACTGACGATGTTCACCCTAGGCGGGGGAACCTTGTCAACGTAGGTGCCTGTGGACTTCCAGGAAGCCATCTCTGTGTCCATAGCTGCCTGCCACTGAGAGGAGCAGGGACCCTCTATCACCTCCGCGTAAGAGCGCGGAGTCGGGATGTCAAGTGCATCCGGGTCTCCCTCAGGGGTAAGCAGTACGGAGACGAGATGAGGTGAAGCAGCACCCAAACACTGGAACTCCTCCTGCCTGTCCTCAAGGACGTCCGTGCCAAG